AAAAATCAATAAAATATATTTTAAAAAATAAATAAAATAGTTTAAAAAATAAAAAATAAAAAATAAAAATCAATGGGAAAAATATCCTTGGGTGAGGATTAACAACAACAGATGAAAGCTATTCAAATTTCTTCAGATGTCTAATGCTGATTACCACCATTGCTCAGTCCCAGTCATCTACACCATCTATATCTGTTTCCCCCATCCTGTGTAGGAGATGTTATTCAGGTCTGCTTATACCCTTTCAGAAAAGAAAAAAAAAAGTTCTTATCAGAACTTGTAGCTAGCTTATAAGCTTATAAGTAAGAGGAAAATTAAGTTAAACTTCAACCAATATTAAATGTACTTACTTTTTGGGTCCTCTTAGCCAAGTTCCCGTATTCACACTCATCATTGCAAATGCTAACAATTGCTACTCTAGCGAAAATGTACTGGGCATTAATAAAATATGTGCTGGTCCAGACTGACCTAAGCCCTTTAATTGTTACAGAATCAGCCAATCTGTAGGTGGAACTTGTATTTTCCCCAGCTATACGTGAGGAACCTTTTAAATAAACAAAGTGACAGTCTTCATCACCACAAAGAACAATGAGGAGCCCTGTCCCTTCTCCACACCCAGCCAGCTCATCCTCACTAGCTCCTACCTTGTCAGGTAAATCCTCAGAGCAATGCTGCATAAATGATGTGACACAATGTCAAAGGCTTAGAAACTTCTAGAAATAGAGCTACCTAGATAACAAACTTAGCTTTAAGTATTTCCTACTTAAAAATAGAATATTTTCCAAAGGATTTTTAAAAAATTAATTTTGAGAGAGAGGAAGTGAGGAGAGAGAGAAACATCAATGTGAGAGTGAAATACCAATGGGCTGCCTCCTGCACGCTCCCGACTGGGGATCTAACCCGCAACCCAGGCACGTGCCCTGACCGGGAATCTAACTGGCAACCTTTCGGTGCACAGGATGATGGCCAACCAACTGAGCCACTCTGGCCAGGGCTAAAAATAGAATGCTTTAAAACAAATTACTACAATGGAGAAACAAGTTTAAGGCATGCTGTCTCCAAACTTAGCCTATACCTGCTTCTGAAATAATCATGTGGCAATAACAAGAAAAGGTGCAAATTAGCAGACAGGTAGAATATATTCATTGATAGCTGGTATGTTGATCTGTAGTAGAGATAAGCATTTTACACATATATTTTCATTGTAATCTGTTAGTTATACTCAGTATAGTTGACCCTTGAGCAATACAGGGTTTAGGAGTGCCAGACCCCATGAAATCTAATGTTGACCCTCCCCATATGCAGATTCCCAACTATGGATTGAAAATATACTATTTTCTCCAATTCTATTGACAAAGAAAACTGGGTCTCAAAGAGAAAAAAGACACACACACACACACACACACACACACACACACACACACATCAACAAATACAAGGTATAACAGCAAACATAATACTTGTCCTGTAGATTAGAATGTCAAGTCTGAGACAAATTACTTAAGTCATCTGCAAACCTCAGTTTCTCTTATGAGAGTCCAAAAGGATTACTGTAGTTAGGGTACTAACAAGGTGGCTAGCCTGGGAGATTAAAATGGAGTTGAAAACTTCCTATCACCTAGTGACTTGTAACACAGTAATGAAATGATTACTCATGTGTTTGTGATGATGCTGTGTTGTAAAAAAACACCTATGCACTGCTAGTTGTATAAGGGTATAGCACATACCTTTACACCAAATTATGTACAATATACAATACTTGATAATAAATAACAATGATAATGGTTTATTTAGTTACAACACTATACTTGTTATTGTTACTTGAGTGTCCTCTTTCTACTTAAAAAATAATGTTTGCTGTAAAACAGTATGCTATGTTATGTTGGCAGGAACTTCAGGAACTTCAGAGATCTTGCATTTGCTGTGTCTCTTGATTGCACTGTCTCTCATAATTGATTTAATACGTGTTTTGTACAGAAACAGGCTGTTAAGGCCTGTAGCCTAGAAGTTATACGTTATACCATGTAGCCTGGGTGTGCAGTAAGCTATGCTATCGAGATTTGAGTAAGTCTACACTACGATGCTCACAAAGATGAAATCGCCTAAGGCGCGTTTCTCAGAACTTATCCCCATCGCTCATCAATGACTGACTGTACTTTCATTCACAAAAAGTACCCATTAGTCTTCGGGCTTGAGGACAGACAGAAAAAATAAAGGTCTGTATATTTATTTAAAAGGACCTTTAAACATTTAAAATACAACAATGTTGGCACAAACTTAAGTGAACTTCAAAGAACGAGGTTAACACCCAGTATGCAAACATGGTCTGTTTATTTTACAAAGTACAAGATATACAGAAAGGGGAGGTAGGAAAAAAAACTGAAATTCCCTAGGAAGGCAGAGAAACCATTGTGCTCAAGACTCAGAGACAGGAAATTAGAAAGTTGCACATTTCCTGAGGAGGTCCAAGATGGTGACAGCGGAGGAGGATGCCGAACGTGCCCCTCCCAAGAAGACACTGAGATATACATCTATGTACAGATCAAATACTCCTGAGACAGCAGAGGGCTGGATGCTCATCTGCTGAACAACAGAGAAGGTGGGAAATCGAGGGTGCAAGGTCGAAGGTGCTGGTTTTGAGTTTAGCAAAGCAAACGTGGGGCAGGTGAGGAGAGAATGAAAGGAAAAGCAATACACCTGTGGCTAAAACCACCTCTAAGTAGCTTATCTATAATAATAAAAGTGTAATAATATGCAAATCGACCAAACAGCTGAACAGCCGTCCGGACGACCACGCACCAGGCCAGCCAAGGCAAGTGCAATGCAGTTGGTTGGGGTGGAGGGTTACCATCATCCCACAATCGCCCCACAGAGGGAGGCCCAGGCCACCAGCCAGCAGGGTGATCAATCAGGGGGGCTCCATGATCACCCCAAAGAGGGAGGCCCAGGTCACTGACCAGTGGGCTACAGCAGGTCCTCCCTCTGCGGGGCAATTGATCTTGGAGCTCTTGGACTAAGAGAGGGCACAGCCCGGGCTGAGGGATGCCCCCCCCCCCCCATGCATAAATTTCATGCACCAAACCTCTAGTTTCAAGTACTAGCCTTCCTTATGCGGTTCAATTGGAGAAAAGAAGAGAAAGGGAAAAGAAATAAAGAATTTGCAAGTATCACATAAAACACTACCATGCCAAAATTGTATACCTGCTATATATCAGATGATTCTTTAAGTTTCGTACAGCAAAACAGTTATTTCTACAGAGAAACTATTAAGTATACATCAAACAGCCTCGTCTGGGCTATCAATTTTTCTAGAGATTCAGTGAGGAAGCATTATAAAAATAATGCCTTTTAATAAGCTACATCCTTTCCACTTCATTACCATCATCATCACCTCCGTAAGTTATGATTAGCCTTTGCCAAATTATCAAAAGCACCTGGAACTGACTAACCATTCATGACAGTAAAATCAGACGAGAGCCCAAAGTTCACTGGGACTCTATTATTACTGGCTCTGGTCTCTCGTAAGTCAGTGGGGTTTTTTTTTTTTAAGGCTCTCGAAACCTTAAGTAAATAAACCCAACAGCCAGTGAAAACTGACACGCCCAGAAACTCCCAAGAAACATTTACTTCATAGTTCACAATGGACTGTCCTATTCCATCTGCGTTGGCCTTGCCTGGGGCTAAAGGTTAAAGGAAAACATTCCCTAACACCTTCACACTTTATGGGTGGAAAAACTGAGGAGGGACAAAGAACAATCCATCCTAACAGAGGATTTCTTCAAGGGCAGGGACATACAACTATCATTTCCACGGCATATGCCCCACCAAAATTAAGACTGCTTTATTTTTGCTCCTTAACTAAAAAAATAAATAAAAATTCAGTCCTGGACTGTGCTCAGTTGGAGCACTGCCTCATGCACCAAAAAGATTTCGGGTTCAATTTCCAGTCAGGGCACTTAATCAGATTGCAGGTTCAATCCTGGTCAGGACACACAGAAGTCAACCAATGTTTCTCTCTCACATTGATGTTTCTCTCTCTCTTCCTCTCTCTGTAAAGTCAGTAAAAATATACCTTTCATCTACATTTCTAGAATTCTTCCAACACAAGATGTATGCGATGCTGCAGCTAAAGGAGCCTTGGGGATGATCAATATCTTTACCCCTGACCAGCAATATCCTGGAACCAGTGTCCAGGATTCTCAGCTAACCCTCGTAGAAGCAATCAAGCTGCTCAATAAACCCGATGATGGCAGTTTCTGGGGTTGTTCCCAACATCATCCTAACAAATGATTTCTAAAATACAAAGTCTCACTTCAAACATCTCTAAAGACAGGTTAGGTTTTCAATAACATGCATTGGGGAGATACTTTTGAAGATAGTGAGCTATCTTGGTGAGCTTTCAGCAAATCATATCACATAGGAGGCTACCTACCAGTGGGTAAACAGTATATACAAAAAAGGAAATTGCTCTAATCTCTCTCGGCCTCCTTAAGTACCGTAGTTCATCGATACTGTGAATATTAGTGCAGAACCAGACACTGTGATTCACCAGGCTGTCCTCCATGTAAAAAGCTTAAGACTGCCACCTGCTACCACTCCAAAAACACCCTTTGGCCATCCTGATCCCAGGGATACCTGGGTAATAGTGTTTCCCTCCAAAGGATAAGCAGGAAAGTAAAAGGTGCCTGGGTAGGGGTGGGGAGTTGTGTTAATTCCTTCCACATGATTATTTATTTTTTCACATGATTACCTGAGAATCAATTCATTTTCAGTGCCTAGATCTACTTCTTGAAAATGGAAACCTGATTTTTTACCTTGTAATAAAATAATTTCTCCTTATCCCAACTTCTTTAAAGTAAAACCTGAGACCAAAACTTTTGCTACACAGACAATAATTCTAAGAACAGTTTCACAAAGCAGGAAAGGTCAAGTTCAGAGACAGAAACCTAGGGGTTTAATGGAAGATTGGATGCTTGCTGGGTTTTTTTTTTAATACTTACCCACTCTTCAACATTGGGGGGCTGCTCATCATAAACAGGCTCCTTGTCCCACAAAATATTCGTCTTGTCATACTGGTCCATCTTCCTTCGAGTTTTCACAGCAAAGAATATTATTAAAGCAAAAGCCACAATAACCATGAATCCTAGCACAATGGCAATGGCCTAAAGAGAGTGAAGATAATGATATAATTACATTTTAATCGCTTCCTTCAGTTCAATGCACCCTCTGCAAGTACCTAATCCACCCTTTACAAACACCCTACTGAGTATCTGTGACTTAACTGATACGAAACTGATACAAATGGCTGCATTTTAGAACTATAAAACCTACCCACACTCCTTAACGCTAGTAAAACACACACCCCTTAATTCCATCCTCAGAATACAGTTCATTAACGTTAGGTACTATCATCATCCCCATTTCAGGATTTTACAGGAAACTATTCCCAACAAAAGCTTGAGCACCAAGGGGCGGTATTTTACAGAGGATGGGCCTTACCCGTAATTATGCAGACACAATCTGAGCTATAAATTAGAGGAACCTGGCTAATGATTCATTTAGTCTGGCAGGTTTTTCTGTTTTGGAGTCTTTCATTGACTCACTAGAAAGGGCTCTGTGATGGGGAAACCCTACCCATGACTGTTTTCCTGGGCCGGGAAGAAGGGAAGATGTGGTAAGTGGTCCGCTGGCCCAGGGGCACCTGGAGTTGAGGCACCAGCACTCTGCCCGGGACCTGTGGGTAGCAGGAGGATCTCTTTGCAGCTATCTAACAGTGATATCCTTTCTCAAAGAATACAGGTTTGGGTAGTCAGAGGACTGAAAAGGATGGGGCTGTGGTCAGATGGCAGTACTGACCCTCAGCCCTGTCAACCACAAACATTCTGAAAACCTTCAGTTGCAGGGAAAAACATTTCAGACTTCAAAAGAGGCAAAAGAATGAGAATTCCTGAGTCAGTTAGTAACCCAGAAACATTTTCTGAATATAATTAGGGGGTGATTCATGGCTACTGAAGGAAGGGCTTTCTACCCCACCTGCACGTTTGAATCACCTGGATGGCTTTTAAAAATACTGACTTGCACCCTAAAACTTACAAAACACTTTGAAAGAAATGAAAGATGACCTAAGTAAATGGAAAGACATACTATGTTCATGTATTAGTAGACTTAATGTAAATATGACAATACTCTCCAAATCGATCTACAGATTCAATGCAATCCTTCAAAATTCTAGCTGGCTTTTTTTTTCCCCTCCAGAAATTGAGAAGCAGATCCACAAATTCATATGAAAACACAAGGGACCCAAAATTTAGCCAAAATGATCTTGAAAAAGAACAAAACTAGCAAACTCCCACTTCCTGATTTCGAAACATACAAAGCTACAGTAATCAGGATAGTGAGGTACTAGCATAAGGAAAGAAATATAGATGAATGGAATGAAATTGAGAGTTTAGAAATAAATCCTGACATTTATTATCAATTCATTTTTTACTAAAGCATGGATAATTTAATGGTGAAACAGTCCTTTCAATAAATAATACCAATACAACTGTGCAAAGAATGTTAGACTCCTTCCTCATACTACGTCCTAACTGAGTGGATCACAGACCTAACTGAAAGAGCTAAAATTAAATCTTAGAAGAAAACACAGGAGTAAATCTTTGTGACTTTGAATTAGGTTATGTGCTCTTAGATATTGACACCAAAAGCACAAACAAAAGAAAAAAATCAAATATATCAAAATGAAAGGCTTTTGTGCAGAGAACAATAGAACAATATACAGCAAGTGAAATGAAAATGATAAAATGAGAGAAAATACTTGCAAATCACACATCTATTTCTATTGTATTCAAATATATAAAGAGGTCTTACAACTCAATAATAAAAATACTTGTAGCCCAATTAAAAAATTGACAGATTCTAATAGCCATTTCTCCAAAGAAGATATATGCACAAAGAAAACAAGCTCAACATCATTCATTAGCTGTCAAAGAAATGCAAATCCAAACCAAAATGAGGTGCTACTTCACACCCATTAGCATGGCTGGAATCAGACAGACAAAAACAGTGTTGGCGAGAATGTGCATAAATTGGAATCCTATATGTTTCAGGTAAATTTAAAGTAATGTAACCACTTTGGAAAAGTCTAGCAGTTCCTCAAAAGGTAAGCACAAAGTCATCATAAGACTTAGCAATTCCACTCCTAGATATAGAATCAAGAGAAATTAAAACACATGTTCACACAAAAAACTTACACACAAATGTTCAGAGAGTTATTCCTAACATGCCCCCATCGACTGATGAATAAAAAAATTTGGCATATCCAAATAAAGGACTATGTTATTCAGCCATAAAAAGGAAATGAAGTACTGGTGCCTGCTACAACACGAACCTTAAAAACACTGTGCTAAATGAAGTCAATCATAAAAACCTGCATATATATTGTGTGATTCTGTTTATATAAAATCCAGAATAGGCAAATCTGTACAATAGGTCTGGGAAGAGTTAGGGAAGTGACAACTGACTGTATGAATTAGTGAAATGTTCTTTGGGGAAAAGTGAAAGTGTTGATTGTGGTGATGGTTGCACCACTCTGTGACTATACTAAAAACCAACAAACTGAACTCTGAATGGATGAATTATGTGGTACAATAATTATACCTCAATAATGACACCTAGCCCTTCTGCCAGGGTCTGATTAAAATAGAAGTGGGGTCTTGGCAACAATATTGTTTAAAAGTCCCCAACGTGGTTCTATTATCAGCATCCCGAGCTGAGAGCCTCTGACACAAGGTGTGAAAAAATAAAACTGCTCATACCTCCTGGGGATCCACCACACAGTAGTGATACAAATACTGATCCACGTATAGCGCAGAAGTTGTAGGTGAATAAAACTGGTTGCAGAGGGCAATAATCTGTGAACCATACATAGATCCCGAAGCCTGGGCAGTTGGATTGACTCCCATTATGTAGACGATGGTGGCAATAAACACCAGGAAGCCCAGGATGGCACTCAGGATTATCACCGTCAGGTAATATCTTCGTGTTCTAGATATCTCAGATCTTATAACACTAGTAACGAATATCACCAGCGCAGCAATGAAAGAAAAGGCAGCCATGGATATCAGGAAGCCCTTTGCCGCTCTTGGGTCTGTGTAGCCAGTTCCATAGCCGTAACCGTAGCCACCATAACCGTAGCCATTTCCGAAGCTTCCGAAGCCACTTCCAGCGTAAGGGTAACCTATGCCACCTCCTAGGATGTTGTTCCCATAGCCTCTGTCCCAGCCAAGGGTGGAGGCGACACAGGCAAATATGGCAATGCACATCACGATGATGAGCATGGACAGGATCCGGATCACTCCCGGAGGAGAGGTCCATTTGTAGAAGTGGAGGATTTCATCTTCTGGGTAGAAAGAATACGCCTTATGGGAGAGCATCGGTCGAACGTGCATCTCTCCACCGTACATGTCATTGCTCGGTGCGTAATGGCTTGGTTTGCTGAAATGCACAAGAGAACAATTTCAAGTTAGCACTTTTTGGAGGTAAGCAGAAAGTATAAAATACCTAGAAGAACTTAAACAGACCCTTGGCCAAAAATAATAAAACAAACAAACAAACAAAAACCCTATTGTTAGTACTGCCCCAACTGCCATGGGGGAATTCATATGTCCCCCCAAATTAAAATGTCAGCATCCTAGCCGAAACCGGTTTGGCTCAGTGGTAGAGCGTCAGGTCTGCGGACTGAAAGGTCCCAGGTTCGATTCTGGTCAGGGGCATGTACGTTGGTTGCGGGCACATCCCCAATGGGGGATGTGCAAGAGTCAGCTGGTCGGTGTTTCTCTCTCATCAATGTTTCTAGCTCTCTATCTCTCTCCCTTCCTCTCTGTAAAAAAATCAATAAAAATATATATTTTTTAAAAATGTCAGCATCCTAAATCCTCGTGTGATGATAGTAGGAGGTGGGGCCTTTGGGAGGAAATTAGGTTCTGAGGCAGAGACTTCAAGAATGGGAATAACACTCTTATAAAAAAGGTCTCAGAGCCAAAACCGGTTTGCCTCAGTGGATAGAGCGTCGGCCTACAGACTGAAGGGTCCCAGGTTCAATTCCGGTCAAGGGCATGCACCTTGGTTGTGGGCACATCCCCAGTAGGGGGTGTGCAAGAGGCAGCTGATCAATGATTCTCTCTCATCGATGTTTCTAACTCTCTATCCCTCTCTCTTCCTCTCTTTAAAAAATCAATAAAATATATTTTAAAAAAAAAAAAAAAAGGTCTCAGAGAGCTCTCTCACCTTTCCCACCAAGTGAGGACTCAACTAGAAGTTGGCATTCTGCAACTCAGAAGAGGGCCTTCACCAGGGTCTGAAAATGCTGACACCCTATCTTGGAATTACAGCCTCCAGAAATGAAAGAAATGTCTGTTGTTCAGGAGCTACCCAGTCTAGAGTCCTCTGTTATGTCAGCCAGAAGCGACTCAGGTACCCACTGAACAGTAAAGATACCTGTGCATCACAACCCCTTGGAGGCTTGTGGGCCTCCACCCCAGACGTTGCTGGGTCTGCAGATCTGGAGTCAGACACTTCTCCCGGTGCTGCGGGTGCTGTTGGTCTGGGGAATCACTGCTCTAGTTTCTATGTATGGAACAGAAGTTCTCAAATCTTGCTCCATATTAGAATCACCTAGGCATGTGCAAAATCCCCAGATGGAGAACTTTGTACCAGTTCACATGTGTCAAACACAAGGCCCACGGGCCAAATCCGTCCCGCCAGGCCTTGCAATGTGGCCCGCACCGCGCTGTCATCACTGCACTCCGCTGCGTTTCCATCACAATGACAGTTTATGATTGTTCAGTAAACCTTTTGGCCCGCGATTTAGGCTGGATTTTAGATTTTGGCCCCTTCTCTGATTGAGTTCGACACCCCTAAGTTAAATCATGATACCTGGGGATGGAACCCATGAAGTTTCAAGCAACAGTGTCAACCCTTTTGCCTGTGTGACTTGAGAACAGGGCATTCAGACATGACACCTCTAATGACCTACCGATGCACACGTGCAACTCCCAGTAGCCTCACTCCCCTAAGGAGGCACATTCATTCATTTATTCAACTGACAGCCATTTCCTGGAGCCAGGCTGGCACTGTGCTCAGTACTGGGGATGCAACAATGACCAGCCCTCGGTCCAGGATCCTCCCAGAGCTGAATCTCTATCGGGGCCGGAAGACAATAATCCCGACATGATCTATAATTAGTTATGGTTTTGTAAAGTAAATCAAATATGTAACGAGGGCTCATCAGGGTGATGCCTCATTGGATCCCAAGTCTCCTTTATAAAAAATATCTTGCAAACGCCAGTAGTTAATGCATAAACATGGCTTGTGAAAGGCACACTGATGTGTGGACAGACTGACTTTAAGAACTGCATGCCTAGGAAGTAACATGTTTCTCTGAGTCCTGTGAATCATTCTAGCAAATTAACTGAACCCAAGGAGAGAGTTGTGGGAACCTCTGGTTTGTAGCCAGTCGGAAGTGCAGGGAACAATGTGGCATTCTCCCCTCTGTAGCCAGCTGGTCAGAAGCACAGGGAGCCTGGCCTTGTGGCTGCCCTCTGAAGTAGGTATGTTTGGGGGCGGGGCAGTCATTAACCTGTGGCATCTAATGCTATCTCTGGGTAAACGGAGTTGAATTCTTGAACAACCTGTTGTTATCTGAGAATTGTTAGTGGGGTGGAGGGAAGCAGTCTTGCAGGATTGCACCTTAACGTATGGAATCGAACTCTATCTACAGTGAGCCAGTGTCAGAACTGAGGGCGCCCTGGTGGTATCCTGAGAGTTGTTGGCTGGTGTGTGGGGAACCCCCCACATTAGAACTGGATCCAGGGGCCCAATTTAATGGGTAATTGTGATATATCCATATGATGGAGCTACAGAGCTACGCTCTAATATGGCAGCCACCTGCCACATGGATTTACTGACCACTTCAAGTGTGGCCAGTCCAAACTGAGATGTGCTTTTAAGTGTAAAATACAAAGTAAGCACAACATGAAAAAAAAAAAAGTAAGACCAGCAAGAAAGAACCCTAACATGAACTAAGTTCTATGGCTGATAATGATGTGTCAGTGTAGGTTCATCAATTATAACAAATGTTATCACTCTGCTGGGGGATATTGATAATGGATGATGCTATTGCATGTGTGGGGGCAGGAAGAATATGGGAAATCTCTGTACCTTCCTTTCAATTTTGCTATGATTGTAAAATTGCTCTAAAATATAAAGGCTTAAAAAAATACCCAGAATGTATACTAACCTATGAATCAGTCTTTATAAGAATCTTGTGTTGAAATGATAATATTTTGGATATATTGAGTTAAGTGAAGTATATTATTAAAATTAATTTATTTTATTTTCAATATGGTTAGAAGAAAACATAAAATTATATATGTGACTCATATTATATTTGTACAGCACTGCTCTGAAGCAAAAATGAAGAAAATTTACAAACAAGTAAAACTTATGTACTCTTTGGGATGCATAAAGTGGTGAGATAACAGAGAAAAGTATTGTTTTTTTACCTAGGTGATGATTTCGTTTTGTCTTTACTCTTCATCTCATACATAAGTTCTGTGCCCTTTTCTATTTGTATATTATATTTCACCATCGTTTATAAAAGCAACATAAAATAACCATCAGGCTAATGGAACACTACTCAGTAACTATATTCTCTAACATTTTAATGACCACATTGTCATAAACAATGTGTCCATACCACGTTCAAATATTAGGCAGGAGGTTATGTACTAGTAATACAAACACAGCTCCACTACAATTATCAAAGAGTTAAAGCTACAAACTACTTAAAGGAGGCAATCCCTAGCAATGCTTGCTAACAAATTTAAAATGGAAGAATTCACTGTTAAATCCCTAAATAATTAGCAATGCTAAGAACCATCAATTTTGCTTCTTTTGTATGATGGCAAGACTCACTCTTAAAATTGACCATGAAGAACACATGATGCTAAATGAAAGAAGTCAATCACAGCCCTTGCTGGTTTGGCTCAGTGGATAGAGCATTGGCCTGCGGACTGAAGGGTCCCTGGTTTGATTCCGATCAAGGGCACATGCCTGTGTTGCGAGCTTGATCCCCAGTTGGGGGCATGCAGAAGGCAGCTGATCAATGATTCTCTCTCATCATTGATGTTTCTCTCTCTCTCTCTCTCTCTCTCTCTCTCTCTCTCTCTCTCTCTCTCTTTCCCCTCTCTCCCTCTCTCTCTGAAATCAATAAAAATATATTAAAAGACCACATGTACGATTCTGTTTATATGAAATGTCCAGAATGGACAAACCTAGAACAGAAAAGTAGACTGGTGGTTGCTGAGTACAAGGGGGAAATAGGCAGTGACTTCAACGGGCCAGAATGTCTTTGGGGAGGCAGTCATAAAAACGTTCTAAAACTGTGATGATGCTTCCACAACTCTGGGATGACATTAAAATCACTGAACTGCCCAATCTAAATGAGTGGGTTGTAGGACGTGTGTATTAAACCTTAATAAAAATGTCATTTAGAAAAGTGATGCCATGTTGCCAATGGTCATTTAAACAAGGCATAATACGGAAGTGTCATACCAATTGTGAAAACAAAAGGAATACATATACATACAAATAGAAACCTAGACTATATTGAAGCAAACGTTAGAAACAGGTAACAGTAGTTGTCTTTGCAGAGAAAAACTCATCCTGGAAGTTATGGGTAAGAGGGAAACTCATTTTTCACTGAATACACATATTTTATTTTTAAAAGCAAACAAAAAATAGGTGAAAATTTCAACAATAGGTACATATTTTTTTCTTTTACATGTGATAGACTTTTTTAAAAAAAAAGAAGACTGAAGAAATATTTACTTACAATTCATCAGGTCTGTATGGAGGAGGACTTTCAAAAGGCCTCGACGACATGGTCAGTGGTCACCTGATCTTCACAATGAGCAATGTCCTGTCGCTCCCACGATAAGCCAATCTAAGCAACATAAGTAGGGTAATGGCATTACTACTGAGCTCAGAGTTTCCTTGCATCACTAAGAAAACTAGTGATACCAATCTCAAGTAACCTCTCACACCATGTTTATTTCTCTTGTCCTTCCCATTACTGTTTTTATACACTGGACCATTAATTCCGTGAGCAGAGGAAATCACTGAGCACAGGAATTATTCAGCCTGGGAGTCCTCACAGCTCCTCACACCATGCTCTGTACATCACTGGGGTAAAAATATTGTTTACTTTGAAATCCTACATTGTAGTAATAAAACATTCACAATGCTTCTACAGCATAGGTTTAAAAAAAATTGTATTTATTTTTTTCAAATATATTTTATTGATTTTATACAGAGAGGAAGGGAGAGAGACAGAATTAGAAACATCGATGAGAGAGTCATCGATCAGCTGCCTCTTGCACACCCCCCACCGGGGATATGCCCGCAACCAAGGTACATGCCCTTGACAGGAATTGAACCCGAGACCCTTCAGTCCCCAAGCCACGCTCTATCCATTGAGCCAAACCTGTCCCGGCATGTATTTATTTTTTAAAACAGTCTCTTCAAAGAACAAGATGGGCCCTAGTTGGTTTAGCTCAGAGGATAGAGTGTCAGCCTGTGGACTAAAGGGTCCCAGGTTCGATTCAAGGGCACATGCTCAGGTTGCGGGCTCGATCCCCAGTGTGGGACGTGCAAGAGGTAGACAATCAATGATTCTCTCTCATCATTGATGTTTCTATCTCTCTCTTCCTCTCCCTTCCTCTCTGAAATCAATTAAAATAAATATATATATATATATGTAACATGGGTATGAGAAAAAAGCATTATTTAAATGTATTGTTTCATATTCCTTTGGAAAGTTCATATAAAATGAGAATGCATATGAAAGTGCATATTGCGCAGCCCGTGTGGCTCAGTGGTTGAGCATCGACATATGATCCCTGTTCGATTCCCAGTCAGGGCACATGCCTGGGTCGCAGACTCAATCCCTAGTAGGAGGTATGCAGGGGACAGCAGATCAATGATTGTCTCTCATCATTGATGTTTCTCTCTCTCTCTCTCTCTCTCTCTCTCTCTCTCTCTCTCTCTCTCTCTCCCTTCCTCTCTGAAAAAAAAATACATTAAAAAAAAAGTGCATATCTAGCAGAGTCTAACACATACTAGATCATCAATGTTAACTATAACATAAGCTGGTTTAAAAAGTATATTTTTCTCATTACAAATGATTACATACAAGATGCATCTATGAATGGTGGGACTATGGGTAGTTTCCCCTTCTGCTTTTCTAAATCTTCCAAACCGGGCACAATTTTTACAAATTATGGGGGAAGACATTAAATGCACATTGTATTAAAGAGTCCTCTAAGCAAAAGCAGAATGATTTTGTTCTAACATTTCTCAGTTTGTCCCAATTTCATTCAATCAACAAGTATTTATTAAGTGCCTCCACTATATCACAGGACCTGTGGAAATTAAGTATGAGACAAAGCTCTCCCGGCCTACTCCAATAGGCATTAATTAGGACCAAACTACGCGATAAAGTGCAGTATGGGGATGACCAAAGATTTAAAGAGGAAGTGGAAAGGAAGGAAATAGGAAGAAAGGACACTTGAGCAAGACCTTTATCTTCCCTGGCCAGTGTGTTCAGTGGTTAAAGCGTTGGCCCATGCACTAAAGGGTAGCAGGTTCCATTCCTGGTACCTGAGTTGCAGGTTCAATCCCTGACCTAGGCTGGGTGTGTGCAGGAGGCAACCAATCAATGTGTTTCTCTCACACCTCTCCCTCTCTGTCTCCCACTTCACCCCTCCCCCCCACTCTAAAAATTAATGGAAAAAATATCCTCAATGAGAACTGACAACAAAAAAAAGAATCAACCTATCAATGCAGGAATAGGTGGAACAACAAATGGGTATTTCTCTCTCTCTAAAAAGAAATATTAAAAAATCTATATCTGAATATATATATAAAGTATCTAATGTTTTTTCTTCTCAAATGAAGTATGTGTAATCTTACATCACTATGTTAGAAACTGAATCAATTCAGCCAGGACCAATTTGGCTCAATGGATAGAGCGTCGGCTTGGGGACTGAAGGGTCCCGGGTTCGATTCTGGTCAAGGGCATGTACCCTGGTTGCGGGCACATCCCCAGTGGGATGTTTCATTGTATCTCTCTTATCGATATTTCTAACTCTCTATCCCTCTCTCTTCTTCTCTGTAAAAGACAAATGAGATATATTAAAAAATAATAATAATTAAAAAAAAAAAAACCAAACAACAAAATCCCTTTCTAAACTATTATTTCCTAGATTCAGAGTTTAGTTGTCATGACTCCTCTAGTAACAGAGATTTTAAATTGTGGAGCAAATAAATCTAGAAAGCTAATTAAGAACAAGTCATGCCACACCAACTTCACCTCCTTTGTTGAGGTTACCAAACTGCTAGATGAAGGAAGTGCAGAGGGAGTCCTGAGAATCTTGCGCACATCCCTGCTGTACAGACCGTGTTGGGCAGATTTTTAAGAAGCTGAATAATGGGATCTAATTAAGATGAAAGAATGGACCATTTATGTCCACCCCTGGAGGGAGGTCTCCAGTGGTTCTGCTACACACAAAGCGGAGGCAACAAGCTTATCAGCTTTGCAGTTAGGGACCTCACCCACTAGAAGTCTATCAAACTGACAAGTTCTCGGTAAGGTCAGAAAGATGACGGAAAGAAACCTAGTGGCTGTAAAAACTCACTGCCTGCCACAAGTTCCTCACCTCTGAGCCTCACTACCATCCTCTGTCCAATGGGGGATAACCTAACCTCTGAGGTGGGATAACTTAATAAAACGATGAATTAAGCCTGGCCAGTTTGGCTCAGGGGTTGAGCATCCACCTATAGACCCAGAGGTCACAGCTGGGTTCCAGGTCAGGGCACATGTTCGGGTTGCAGCTCAATCCCCAAGGCGGGGGCATGCGGGAAGCAATCTATCATGTTAATGTTTCTCTCTCATAGATGTTTCTCTCTCTCCCCCTCTCCTCTCCTCTCTCTAAAACGAATAAAAACATTTTTTTAAATGTAAACTCAATTTTTAAAAAACTAATAGTGTGAGTATTGGATAAGGAGAGCTGGCTTAATAACGGTCCATTTTTACAAGTAATTTCAACAAAAGTTAACCTATTATTCCAAACTCAGATAGCACTCACAGAGACAGTGCTTGAAGGTAGGAATGACACAGTTATGAAAAAGAAGCAAACCCTTTTTACGAAGATGGTGCTGAAAGCGAAGAAGGAAACCCCTCCCAAAGCCAAAGCCACAGCAAAGGCTTTGAAGGCAAAGAAAGCCACAGTGAAAGGCATCCACAGCCACAAAAAAAAAAAAAAAAAGATCCGCATGTCACCCACCTTCTGACAGCCAAAAACACTAAGGCTCCGGAGGCAGCCTAAATATCCTCGGAAAAGCGCACCCGGGAGAAACAAGCTTGACGACCACTATGCCATCATCAAGTTCCCCTGACTCCCGAGTCAGCCATGAAGACGACAGAAGACAATAATACACTTGTGTTCATTGTGGATGTCAAGGCCAGCAAGCACCAGATCAAACAGGCTGTGAGGAAGCTCTGTGACATTGATGTGGCCATGGTCAACACCCTGATCAGGCCTGATGGCGAGAAGAAGGCATACATTCGGCTGGCTCCTGACTATGATGCTATGGATGTTGCCAACAAAATTGGAATCATCTAAACTGAGTCCAGCTGCCTAATTCTAAATATAAAAATTTTACACTGTAAAAAAATAAAATAAAAAGAAGCAAACCTCTACATCATCTTAAAATTTGTGCATCATGTTCCAACTAAGTCCCTCTCCAGAGGGTGATTTAAGATTATTGAAGATCTAGAAAAATCAATGCTTAACACAAATGATTGGAAAAACAGGAAATGCATGGCCTGGAGAACTCAACATTAGAAGGACCATATGGCAACCTTCAAATATCTGAAGAACCATCTTTGTAGTCCTAGACATGGTTCTTTGAAAACACACACACACACATACATACACACACACACACACATATATATACACACACATACACACACACACACACACACACACACACACACCACCACCACCACCACCAGGGTCAGGTTCCTTCTCACCCTGAACCCACATACCCTCCAAAAAATAACAACAATATGATCGGATGCCAATTATGCAAAGCTTAGGTTGTTTGATATTTGAGGGGTCTGGACAGGACTTAAAAGGTCTCTCTCCAGTGAGCCAAGATTCAGCAGACTGTTGTCCAGTGTCCAGCACAGCAAGTCGTAACAGCGAAAGGGACATAAGTCAAATAGCTGTTTAAGAGTCAGGGGCAAAAGAGAAGCAGCAAACACTTGTAGAACATTGTGCTGAAAGCCAGCTAATGTTAACATAAAACAAAAGTTCCCTTCATGATTATGTTTACTGGTCACACACTGTCCTAATAAAGGAAAACAAAAAACAAAAAAAACAAAAAAAATTTTTAAGATGAGGGAGAAAAGTTTGAAAATACTAAACCCAAAATTATTCCTTAAAACAAATTGTCAAAAAATAAACTTTTTTATATTGAAGGGCAGTCTGCTCCTTTTCAACCTCATATAGCAATAGTTAATTTGCCTTTAAAAAGTTTCTTTTAAAGTTGTGCCTGATATTTAGCTTATAGGCACTTCATTAGTAAACAAAATTTTTGAAATTAGGCAAACTTTGAAATAGATAAGCTCTGTGTCAGAAAATGCATTTTAAATAAGCTCTCCAGATAATTTTTAAAAAAATATATTTTATTAATTTTACACAGAGAGGAAGTGAGAGGAATAGAGAGTTAGAATTGAGAGTTAGAATTGAGAGGGACAGAGAGTTAGAAACATCGACCAGCTGCCTCCTGCACACCCCCACTGGGGATGTGCCCGCAACCAAGGTACATGCCCTTGACCAGAATCGAACCCGGGACCCTTCGGTCCGCAGGCCGATGCTCTATCCACTGAGCCAAACTGGTCTCGGCTCTCCAGATAATTTTTTAAATATATATTTTATTGATTTTTTTTACAGAGAGGAAGGGAGAGGAAGAGAGAGGGATAGTTAGAAACATCTATCAGCTACCTCCTGCATTCTCTCCCCACCCCACTGGGGATGAGCCTGAAACCAAGGTACATGCCCTTGACCAGAATCGAACCCGGGATCCCTCAATCTATCCACTGAGCCAAACCAGCCAGGGCTCTCCAGATAATTTTTCAGCACACCATAGATTCTGAGAATCACTGTCTAAAACAAAAGCGTTGATATTGTGAGTTTCCTGTCCAGAACACTTGGATCTTTACATGGCACCGCCTTTGTTCAGTTCTCCATGCAAGGGTCACTTCCTCAGAGATACCCTCCCAGGCCCTCACTCCATCCACTAAACCTGTTTTACTTTCACAGGGCATTCCTCCCTCCTTCCCCCCGCCCCCCCCGACTAAATTACAATATTAGTTTTTCTTTTCTTCTTTCCCCCCCTTCCCACTACTATCTACCTCTGCTCCAACTGGAATACCGTCTTCACAAGCACTGAGATGTCTGTTTTGACCATCACTGTTACCCCATCCCTGGTACAAAGTGATGATCTACCAGTATCTGATTTATAAAGACCAACAGCCCATATGACAGCTGAGGTTTCCACCCACCAGTGACCAGATTGAAGTTCTTCGCTCAATACACCCAGCAAATACAATCCTTTAGGTTCAACTAACATAACTGAGCTTACAGTCAGATGAAAAAGAGAGAAAAGGGTAAATAAAATACAAAAAAAACACAAAAAAACAAAACATATGGACACCAACTGAGAATTCCTTAGAAATGCGGAACTCCAGGCCCCACTTCTTCCCTATGAATCAGAATCTGCATTTTAATAAGATCCCAGGTGATTAGTACCACATTCAAGATCGAGAAGGTAACTAGACTTAAGGGAGTTTACTCATCTTTAACAATGGAATTCTATTAGGCCTACCTTTCAGAGTGGTTGGTTAAATGATATTAAGTACAAAAGCTTTTAGAACAGTGTCTCGAAAACAGGAGGCACCGCCCACGATTCCCCTAAAATAACGTGCAAAATTGTCTACATCTCACTATTCTGCTCTCCATCACCTAACAAAGCAGGCATCTCATAGCTCAATAAATGCAAAACTACAAAAAAAAAAAAAAAATAAACAAGTGTTGCTTTGTCTGAGTTATCTATTACTGTGACTCCACCGTGTTTAATATCTACTTTTGAAAATATCAGACATGTAACATAAAGATCCAATGTACAATGCGAAAGAAACATTGTTACAGTTGGGAATGAGCTGTGAGAAATCTGCCTCGGGATAAAAAGAACCAGTTTAAAGAACGGCCAGCAAAGCCTTTTTGAAAGGGAAGGGTTCCTCTTTTCCAGGGATCCCAATAATGCACCTGTTGTGCCCGAGGGCCACACACCAACCTGGCAGGCTGCCTCCTCCCGCTGCAGGTCGCTTCCCAGCGGGCGGCCTGCCAGCGCGCCCCGGGCAGCTCCCGCCCGGCGGCTCCACCGGGGACCCGAGGGGCTCGGATCTGCCCTCCCAGCCCCAAGGTGCAGAGGCCATTTTGGCCCCTCAACCCACCTCTCCCCCGTCCCGCGCACTTCCTCCGACAAAGGCAACATGTCTGCTGGACCTGCAGGTCCCAAAGCCCCGCGGGCGGCGGGGCAGGTCCGGGAGCCGCGCCCGGGAGCACCTCCCGGCGGCGGGCGCGCTGGCCCGGCGCGCACGGAGCGGGGACCGCCCGGGGCCTCCCTCCGGTCACGGCTGAGAGCCCGGGCGTGAGCAGATTCCCTCGAAGTCCTGCCTCCCTCGACATGAAACCCCCGTCTCCCCAGCTTGGACCCTTGGGGGCCCGGTCAGCTCCTACTCAGTGGACTCAACATTCACAACCTGCGGTCGGCGCGCCCCGTCCCTCCAGGAATTCAGTGTGTGTACATTTCAACCCAACCACCCTCTCTCCCCGGGGACACCCAAAGGTCGGTGAGGCGGGGCGGGAAGGACGAGGTCCCCCCACCCCACCCCGGGATCTAAGCCCCCTGGCCGGCCAGCGCCCCCATCGCGCCAGCCCCGGGGCTCGGCACCACCGAGGAGCCGGGCGCCGCGCCCCTCACTCACCCCGAGAACCCCCTCCCAGCCCCCCAGCACTGCAGCCCGGAGCGCGGGGCGCAGGGGTCTCCCTCCCGAGCCTCCCGCCTCCCCAAAGCGACCAGGTGTCCGCGCCCAGGCGCAGGGACGGGACAGCGTTTCAGCCCGACGGGCTGATCGGCGCCTCCAAGTGGCCCAGAATCCGGGGCGCAGCGGCCAAGGCGGCCTCGCTCCGCGCCCCGCGCCCAGCCGGCTCCCCGAGTCCCAGTCCCGGGGCGAAACCGCCACCGAAACCAGCCCGAGCGCCCTGCCCCCGCGCTCGCCCGGCCAGACCGCGGCGCCGGGGGACCTCAGCGGGGACTCCGGGCGCCGCGCCCAACGCTCCCCAACTCCCAGCCGCCCGGCCCGACCCCCCAGACCCCGAGGCCGGCGGGAGCCCGGGAGCGCGCTCACCTGGCGGGCGCACCTGCCGCTGTGCGGGCCGCCCGCACTCACCCCGGACCTGGGAGGGGACTCAGCCCTCCTCCTCCTCCTCCCCCTCCTCTAGGGTCCCCCCACCCACCCCACCCCACCCGGCCGCCCAGCCCCCGAGCATGCGCGCCAGGGCCGGGCCGGGCCGGGCTGCGGGAGGTCGGCGGCCCCGCCCGGGGACCCCACCTGCCTGGGTGCGCGGCGCGGCTGCTCGGCGCTCGGGCGCTCTCCCCGGAGCCGCCGTCCCCGCCGGAGGTGGAGGTGCAGTGTGGCCGCCGCCTCCCTCCGTGACCCATTCACCTGAAACTCGGAGGGGAGGGGAGGGGAGGGAGAGGTGGAGGAGGAGGCGGGAGGCCGGCGGAGCGCGGAGTTAAAGGAGAAGCTCCTTGTTTCGGGCGGAGGTGCGGGGAGCCAGCGGGAGACGGGGCTCGGGCTTCGGGGAACTCGGGGCGCGCGGGGAGCTCGGGGGTTTGGGAAGGAGCCGTGGGAGGAGGTCTGCAAGGGGCTGTTTTTCCCCCCGAACAGGGAGTGGCCGAGGTGGCTCCTCGCGCTGGGGCAGGAAAGCCACGTCTCGCACAGCAAGCACTTTCATGCTCCAAAAATGTGGCTCCAGTTTTGTTGGGAATCCAGATGTGGGAGGTTTTCAAAAGCCGTGCGTAAGTTTAGGAGCTGTTTTTAATCTCTGGATCCAGGCAGGGGGGTGGGGGGGGGGGGGAAGAGTAGTTGAATGAAGGTGAAGTACCGTACGGTAGGTGTTCGTGTCGGTAGCTTTGCCATCCAAATACACACCACGGTGTACAGTGTTACCACCTCTGGGTCCTCTGCGCCCTCCCAAGTGTAACTGTGGTTGATGGAGAATGGGGGGGGGGGGGGGGAGTGGGGGAGAGCGTGATTTAAACAATGGTAATATTCTCTTTGGCTTAAAAACAAAACAAAGACTACTTTTGTCGGCTGTTCTCTTTCTTCATCTGGAGGCTGTTTCCAAAGGAGTGTTCACTTAGGAAAAATCATAGTCTACACTTCAGGATGTATACACGTTTATATAATATGAGTACTGGAGGCCTGGTGCATGAAATTCTCTTAGCCCAGCCTGCACCCTCTTCGTTCCGGGACCTCTCACAATCCTGGACCACTGGCTCCTAAGCACTCACCTGCCTGCCTGCCTGGTTGCCCTAACTGCCCCCACCCCTGCGGACCTGGTCACCCCCCAACTACCTCCCCTTGCCAGCCTGGTCATCCCATACTGCTGCCTGCTGCCAGCCCGACGCCCCTAACTGGCCCCCTCTGCTGGCCTGGATGTCTCTTACTGCTCCCCTTCCCACCTGCCTGGTCGTCCCCAACTGCCCCTCTCTGCCAGCCTGGTCACCCCTAACTGCTCCCCACCTCCCCACTGGCCTGGTCGCCCCATGCAGCCTGCTGTTCAGTCACCTGTTGGTCTTCCCTGACTATCCCCCCCTGTGGCCTGGTCTTAGACAGCCATCTTGTGAGGGCATGAGGGTTAATTTGCATATTGCCTCTTTATTATATAGGATGTGGTATTTCAATATGTTCTTTTAGCTAGTACTAGAATGTAATAATTTTAATTCTTGCTATTGAGCCATCTGCATTGAAGGCTAGAATTTAGGTTTCTTAAATCCTGCTTCACTTTGTTCCAGTCTGGAATGTCAGCATTGCTAATACATTTCTGTCCAATCCCATCCACTTCTCTGCCTTTAATTAAGTGGTTAGAGATGTGACTCTCCCATACAATAGGGCTTAAGCCATAATTCAATACTTGAGGAAGCAAAAGCATTATATAAATATGAGGTATTTAAAGTGACGACAAAAAATAATAATAAAGTGATGACAACCTTAATGGGCAATTAAGCTGATTGGTGTTGTTTTCATGGAAGTTATTTCTGCAATTGTTTTAACATGACTGTAGTTTTTGAGTGATGCAGTTTAAATTGGTGGTGCTAACACTGGGGGTCAGGTTAATCCTCTTAATGTTCCCTGTCAGATTACTGAAATCCCCACACATTCCACTCGGTTTATAATTAAACAGGGGAACATTTCTTAATACGCTTAATTATAAACACATATTTATTATTTTATAGTGTATGTTGACATGTTCTACAAAGAACTTAGAGTGTTTTTCCTACTTTCTAAAATTGAAATGTTTCTCATACCATAAAATTCACCCTTAATTTCATTTTATTTATTTATTTATAAAATATTTTTATTGATTTCAGAGACGGAGGGAGAAAGAGTTAGAAACACCAATGATGAGAGAGAATCATTGACTGGCTGTCTCCTGCACATCCCTTATTGCGGGTCAAGCCCACAGCCAGGGCATGCGCTCTTGACTACAATTGAACCCAGGACCCTTCAGTCCACAAGCCAACACGCTATCCACTGAGTCCAACTGACCAGGGCCAACCTTAATTTTAAAGTATACATACAACTTAGTGGTTTTTAGTATATTCACAAGGATATACAACTATCACTACTATCGAACACCTTAAAAATAAGCCCTTCGTCCCTCAGCAGTCACTCCCATTTTCCCTTGCCTCCTGACCTGGCAACCACTACTGTACTTTTTGTCTGCATTGACTTGCCCATTCTGGACATCTTATGTCAATATATAATACATGTGTCTGGCTGCTTTCACTGAGCATAATGTTTTCAAAATTCATTCATGTTAGAGTGCCTACCACTCCTGTTTATGGCTGAATACTATTCCACTGAATAAATATACTACCTTTTATGTAAGTCTTCATCAGTTGGTGGACATTTGGGTTATTTCCACTTTGGGCTGTTATGTATACTGTTACTATGAATATTCATGGGCAGGTTTTCACGTGGTCATCCATTTTTAATTTTCTTGGGCAGGGTTTTTAATTAGAATTTTTATCATTTTTCTCTTAAAATGCATTTTACTCTAACTAATGCATATCATGATATTTTTCTTTTTCCCACACCAAACCTAAGCCCAAAGGCATGTTGTATTAGAATACAAAGTTAGCCGTGGCCGGTGTGGCCCAGTGGAGTGCCATCCCATGCACTGCAAGGCTGCAGGTTCGAGGAGACAACTGATGGCTGTTTCTCTCACCTTGATGTTTCTCTCTAAAAAAAAAAAAATCAATAAAAACATAAATTTTATTTTCAAAAAGAATACAAGGTTAGGTGCCACCTTTTATTTGCTCTCCTTATTCATTCACTCAACAACCATTTTCTGAGTGACTACCATGGGTACAATAGTGAACAAAACCCAAAAAGCCCTGTCTTAGCAGAACTTACTTTCCTGCTGAATTCATGCATCTGGAATATGAGAATTTATGAAGTTGAACTGTATGAAATTAGAAACAGTTGATCGTTTTTAACCACAAAATGACAGTTTCATGTAGGTTAACTTAATACTAAACTAAATTTCTGTTGGAAAGTTCTATGCATTTTTTTATTCCATTCAGATTAATTTTCCAAATGATGCTCACAAAACTGAAAAATCTAGAAACTGTGTTATTTTAACTATTGCCTAATAGTGTGCATAGTAGGTACTAGTTGAAAATGTTCAGAAGGAAAATCCAGCTTCAAAACCTAAATACATCATTCTTCAACAGAAAAACAAAATTTGTTGGATGCTAAATGATGCTATGTTCAATGCAATCATCTTACGTAATCATAAATTGTAGCAAATATTTAATTACTTTTAATCAAATATTCCTTCTTGGCAACTCAGTGGAATTATGAACTTTGATCCACTATTGAACATTATTTGATGAAAATATTCATGACTCAAACAAAGGAAATATTGTTCTCAGAGGTATGATTAGAAATTGTTGATTTCCCCTGCAGGCAAATGCATGGTAAAAAAAAAAAAAAAAAAGGTTTTATATGTAAAGGAGAAAGTTCAGAGCTCAGAATATGATGTCAGAAATTTCGGTTTAAATATCATGTTTCCACTTATTAGCTGAATAGGATTAATTCTTAAGGGAGTTGAAGTACATAAGCCTCATTTTTCTGTCAATTTGGGATGATAATAAATGTTACTCTTTTCATAAGACTGTTGAGAGGCCCTTGAACCATTTACCAAGATAAACCATGTGCTGGGCCACAAAACAAGTCTCAATAAATTTACCAAATCATTACTGTAGCTTGAAACAGTTCCTGTCACAAAGTTATTCCATAAAGGCTTGTTGAATGAGCATATTATAACCCTGATTCTGACATCCAACATACCTGTGGAGTCTTGTCTATCTCGCTAATCATCTCCTGCCATTGTGAAAACAGCACATTCCTTAATAGAATTTGGAGACTTACATCTCTAGTACTAGGTCTTAGAGAAGAAAAGAAAAGGGATTAGAATACTTCCACTCTGCCTCACCTGCTTAATGAATGAATCCAAAGGTTGGTATTTGTTCTAGAGCAACTCAGGTTGGAGTTGTTGAGGGCCTGGTGGGAAGGGCCTGTAGTTTCTCCAGCCAATTACAAGGTGGGAGGCTCCCTGTCCACACAGGACGGTTTCCCGGACAGATTCATGGAGTGTTTATGAGGAAGTCAGCAGGAAGGCAATGTCTGAGAGGAGGATGACGAATGGAGAGGAAAGCTCTATCTCCTCAATTCCTAAGTATTAAGTAAGATCCTCTGGGAGGAGCCATGGTTAAACAGAGTCAGCCCCTAAACTGGAACTTCAGCAAGCAGACCAAGAGTAATGGTAATCATCATCAAGCAGACCAAGAGCAATAGTAATCATCATCATTTACTCAGGGGCACTGCACTAAGTGCTTTATGGACTTTTTTTTCTTTTTTCTTTTTAAGAATCTTATGATGTAATGTTATTTTTCCCATTTCTGGAAAAGTAAAGCTCAGAAAGGTTTGATCATGTACTCAAGATAATCTACTAAATTATAGTCCATATTCAAACACAGGTCTAATTCCCAAATTAATATTCTTAACAATTTTACTGCTTTTTGTCTCTTAAAAAAAAAACAAAAAACCAAATGCCTTTAAACTACCTATAAAAAGATTTCAGAATGCAGCCATAAAAAAAATAGTCTTGTCTTGGCGGGGTAGTTCAGTTGGTTAGAGCCTCATCTGGACACACCAGGCTTGCAGGTTCGATCCCTGGTCAGGGCACATACAAGAATCAACCAATCATTGAAACTCAACACCGAGAGAAAGAGTGCAAAACCACACCTACTTTCTGACCTCAGATGTCAGTCATATGCCTTCTCTTCTTCATTTCTACATCCATTGTTTAAACCGCTGGAAATTGTCTCTATTTTTGGAAAGTATTTAAAATTACCAGAACTTTGAATGGAAAATTAGAGGTTTCTCTACTT